CACTAAACCTAAAGCAATAAGAGTGGCTGTTGTCACACATGACTTCCAGATGCTGTTGTTTGTTTTTTAGCATTATTAGCATTAGCACCAGTGTTAGCTTTCCCTGTCTGCTTGTGAAATGCCGACTTGTTGACTCTGTTTCTCGTATTTTAAGGTTCTGCAGTTCTTCATGTCGTGTTATTTGAACAGAGGCGAGCTCCCAAAAACTGTTTACTCGGCCCCTCAAAAGTTTTGTGATCAATATTCATGCGTAGTAGGTCTCACAGTTTTCAGTGTGGACAATAAGCTTCCGAGTAAAACAAACCACACAGCAACATATTAATGACAGCATTTGTCCATCAGGGACCCTCAACAGGAACTTTTATTGAGAACAGTTTAACCCTCATCCCACTTTCCTGTTCTGATGTGTTGATATTAGCCTAACCACAGCTCTGTAGTTAGCTAGTCCAACATCACTAACTCCTGAAGTGATCATTTTATTGGAGCTGAAGAAATTTGGACCATTTTGTATTTGTTTACTTTTAGGAACTGAATCAGCGTTTGGAAATGGTGATAGCGACAGACTTCTAATCTAATTCCTCCTGACCTTCTCCAGTCATTCATACAGAGACATAAACATAACAAGCGCTTCTTGTACAGATGTCACTAAAATTCGTAGAAGAGAATAAAAAAAATAGGTTAATGACCTTTGAAAATGGATCTCTCTTTACAGTTTACATTTTTATAGTTGTCCTGTAACTTCAATGGTTGTTGATATAAGAGATGATGAAGGAAAAATACTTGAATTTAAAGCAAGGAAATATTGACTAAATATAGAAAAACTTAAATTATTTGATTATTTGTGAGATTTCACTGAGCACTGAAAATTATTTCATAGAAATACAGAACAGAGTTTAATTTAAAAAAAATTTTTTTTTACTTTTCTCTAAGGCTTGGTTCTTATTTACAGTATGAACTGGTAATGAGTCTGTATCTCTTTCTGTTTTCATCTTAGTTCATCTCTTTTCCAATGGAATCTGTCTTTGATAATCCTGTTGAGAAAACTGAGAGAACAGCTTTGCATATATAAATCACAGCTGATCTGTCTACCATTCATTTCATTAGATTTTTTATCCTATCAAGAGGAAATAGCCTTTTTCAGACACGTTCATATTACTGGAAATACTTGGTTTGTTTTAAGGGGAAGCTTCCTGGATAGAGTGCAAGGGAGGCAAAACACATGACGCTCGTTTACTAACCGTTCTCATATGCACCACATGTCAGGAGCTGTCGGCTTTAAGATCTGCTGCATCCCATCTGACTGTGTTGGGAATTCACCTACCTCAACCTCTCTTAAATAACTGCATACTTGTCATAGACTTGTGACTTAATAATAATGATAGTAATGGATTGCATTTATATAGCACTTTTCGGGGCCCTCAAAGCGCTTTACAATTCCACTATTCATTCACTCTCACATTCACACACTGGTGGAGGCAAGCTTGCTCGGAGTTCCCACTCAAATTCATTGAAGTTTATATTTGTCATGAGTTGCATACATGGCTTTTTGATGGTTGTAATCATCTCTTGTCTTTCATGTTTCTCTTGTTTCCTGCTTCACTTGTCTGACCTCTGGTAGCTAGTATCATGCTGTTCTTGACAGATATCCTAGAGGTTATTCTGCAGGTGTCGAAGGGAGGGGGAAACGGACAATAGTTTCCAGTTCCTTTATAGCTGTGCTTCTAGTCCAGATGATATATAATCTCTTCAGCAAGTTTGGGATTTACCTCAGGGTCTCTCCTAGTTAGACCTCCCCGGGACCTCGTTAGCTTGTTTCTTCTGACACAAAGGAGCAGTGTCTCTACTGCGAGCTCCTCACTCGATCTCTGAGGATTAACCCAGCAGACTCGTTTTTGGGTAACTAAATGGAGCTCATGACTTTTTCCAGTTGAAATGTGATACCAATACCTTGGTTTTGATTATCTGCTGGTACTGACTTCTGATCCAGTGTTAATGTTGAATTAATAAACTTTCTTCCTCACTAGGAGGAAGAGACTGTGAGTCTTTCCCTAGGGTGTAAGGAAGCATCAAGCTAAGGTTAAAATTTATTTTCGTAAGTAGGTAAAATAAAAAGTATTTATTAATAAAATATTGTAGTAACAACAGGACCAAGAGGAAGCTGCACCGGTTTCTCACACTCCATCTTCCCATCAGTTGTGAATATGATGCTGAGATACCTGAACCTCCTGTGTTTACAGCACCCGCTCATCCCCGGCACACAGGGAACCGTCAACAAGAAATAAATGTTCAATCAACTAATGATTGAACATTTGAAGATCATGAGCATTTCTACTTTGATCCATCATTTAACATTTGCCTGCGCCATTCATCGGCTGCTTTCGCACATCTGGCAAATCGAGTGAGGTTTTAAGATTTGACTGGAATACTTTTTTTTTAGTCCTTGGGTTTTCCTTTAGTTCTTGATTATTTCTATTTTCATTTTGTGTGCTCATTAAACTGCTTAGAGTACTTTGTAGGTACAGTTAGTTTTTTCTTTGCCGACGTTGATCCTGATTTATTTTTCTGTACTGATGTCCTCTGTCTGTGCTGCGTCGTTGGCTCTGAACCTCTCATTTCTCAGTGTGTTTCTAGGCGGGTCTCACTTCACTTCAAACGCTCCTGCTGTGAAAGACTTTATTACCACAGCAGCCTGTGAGCTCAGCAACATGACTCATGCTCTGTTAACTTGTGACCCGCCCAGATCGCCCTCTGAATTGCCTCATCACGCCCTCTATCCCAGCATCTTTTTCATCACTTTGTTTTCGACTTTCTCCTGTTTTTTGTTCTTTTCATGAGCAAATGGAGCGAATGAGCACAGTATTTTGTAGAAAGCAGCTGTTTTTAATAAGCCAGCTCAGAATCCTTCTTGTGCAATGAAGCCGTGTAAGATTTTACTGTCCTACTATAAATATACTACAACTGAATTTTTTCTTAGTCATAGACTCTCGGAGTGGTGATGGTACACAAACCAGCCACACAATGATGATGTTGGATTCAGACTTTTCCCTATCACTTAAACTGTTCAACTAAACTAATAATGAACACGACTAATAATGAATAACCAGAACTGCAAAAGACAGTGAGGAGTAATGCCAGTGCTGAGAGGGACCCATCAGGCTCTACCTTTTGTCTTTATATGCAAGCAGAGGATCGTTTGCAGCAAATCACAACGACTGATGCTGAATGTTGTTCGCAGAAACAAAAATCACACAGAAGAAAATAAGATTTAGCCTTTTAGATTGTGATATTTGGAGTGGGTATAAAATTGATTTGGTTCAGCACATCTGTGTAGTTCAGAAAACATTTACTGTGATTTTAACATTTTTTGCACCGCTTCATTAAGTACATCAAAAAAAATCATCAGGTGATTTCGCTGAGGTGGGAACTTTTCAGATTTGACTTTTTTAAATATGTAATGAGCACGCCCCTCCACCTCACCTGTCAGTCACCTGCTTTACCTGATTCCCCTGCTTGACTACAGGGAGTGGCTCTTTTCATACTGGATCCAGACTGCTGTTTTCTAACATATGCTGGTTTTTGTTTCAGTCAACCACAACAGCAGGTGATTTTATTAAGGTCACTAGCTAAGTGTGGACATCTGTCAAACATGAGAAAACATCATTGGCGGGACAGACTGCCAGTTTATTACATGGCTTTTTTTCCACTTGCACGATCTGTTGAGCCTCACGTGGGCCTGTGCTCATGTTGTCAAGTATCAGGGACACGTGGAGGCTTTTTCTGGGAGCAGGATGGCAGAACCCTCAGCTGAAGTAAAAAGCGAGTGTCAATCCTGAGTCGTGCCTCACAGTCCTTCCAACAAGTTAAATATCGAAAATATTAAAACCACTTCTTTATTTCGTCGTCTTATGGCCATCTAATATGAGTCCTCAAAGGAAAATGTTGCAGGATGAGATAAAGGGCGTTCTGAGACATCCTCCCACTTGCACACGGTGATAAGTTGAAATCACAATTATTTTTAAGTGATAAGTGCAGAATCGTGTATTTGTCTGTTTTATCTGGCAAAATGTGAGCTGTTAATGACTCACTACAGAGTATGTACGTGACACGCCGCGAGTGCTGCCAAAACTGGCCAAAACTCACATTTGATTAATGGTTAAAAAGAAACAGGATTTTGAATCATTTGACTCTCGATTAACGTCTGCAAGAGGCCAAAGCAGTACAACAAAAGATGACTCGATTAGTATGTTTGTTTCAGCCTAATCATGTTTTTAAAAACGAATTGAGTCTGTCTCTCCAAAAACACACAAATTTACACTGACACGCAAAGCAAAGATTTAAATACTTTTTTACGAATAAAAATATCTGCTAAGAAAAAAGCTCTCAGAGTTGACTGAAAGTACTTTTGCTTTGTCTTAATAGTAACGTTTGGTAGGAAACACCCGGTTATCACCTGCAGATTTCTTGAAACTGTTTGATATTTGAGTTTACTTCTGCCGAGCTTGAAGCTCCAGCAATTCTTACTGTGTAGAACACCTTTATTTGACTGACCGGTTTCAGTTTGTGGACTTCATCAGGTTCATCATAAAACAGAGAGCCACATGGGGGAGAGAGAGAAGCGCTTTAAATATGATAAATGAAAAAAGAAAACTTAAAATAAACAAATGGTATAACTGAGTGTTTAAAGAACAGGTAAAACAGAACACATGATAAAAGGAGCTTAATCAAACATACGATGCAAATTAAACCCGAGGCATTTTAAAACCATGACAAGAAAATGGAGACTTTTAGAAAGTGATTCATTGAGAAGACTTCATCCACAGCCTCTAAAACCCTTAAATGAGATGTGACTTTCAAAGCTTGACAGCAGTTGTTTTCGAGCGTCGCTGCCTGTGAGCATGCATGTGTGTTTTACATATTTTACTTGGGAGTTTTACATTTGCATTTTCTCCTTACTGTTACTTTCTGTTAGCCTTCATCCCTTTCCACCTTCCTCCACACAGGTCTGATGCTCGGCCACAGCTGCCATCATGTTTGCCAAAAAGAAGAAGTCTCGTATCCAGATCTCAGCTCCGTCCAACTTTGAGCACCGTGTGCACACGGACTTTGACGAGCAGGAGCAGAAGTTTGTCGGGCTGCCGCGGCAATGGCAGTCACTCATCGAAGACACGGCGCAGAGGCCCAAACCCTTTATCGACGCGACTATCATCACTACCGTAGAACCGCGAAAGGTGAGCGAAAATCAGAGATTGAGTTTATCATACTGATTCTTTAGTGATAGACGATCTAAAATATTCTCGTGATTGTAGTTTTCAGTCATTTTTATACAAAAACAACACACGCTGCCAGCCCTGTAACCTGCTAACTTTGCATCCTCCTTTTTTTTTCTTTCTTTTTTTAAATCTCCAGACCATCGTACGCGGCAGCAGGATGGGAACAGAGTCTCTAACATGGCTGCTGGATGAGTTCGATACCATGTCCGTTACTCGCTCCAACTCCCTGCGGCGCGGGAGTCCTCCAACACACCCTCGCAGGGACTCGAGCTCTTCAGGAGGAGGTGGAGGGCAGGAGAACGGAGATCCTCAACACAGACACTACTCAGACAGACAAGACAGGTGAGACGATGAACTACAGCTCCCCGTGGAGTGATAATCGTGCACATTTGCCTCGTTCCAGCTTCCTCGGAAGTTGGATGCCGGAACTGTTGAGTGCGTTCTCGTAAAGTCGAAAAAACGGAAAAGCAGGGTTTGTTTTGCTTCTTAGCAAGGTAGAGCAATTCATCCATTACTACCAATACAGCATAAAACAAAACACCACTGCAGCACGTTCATGGATGCATCCTAATCTCTGGACTATCCATAGCTTATTTAGTGAGTCACAAATGCACAACAGTGGCAGTACAGATTACAAGTTTTACATATTTTAATACTGTTTACGTTCACTGCCACCATTTTGGATTGTTAACTCGGGTTGATGAGGCTGAGATAAGGGCGTGTTCCAATTCTGACTTCCTCTGGAAGGCACCATTACCCCCTACACACCAAATGTTTTCAGGACCAGCTAAAGAAAGCTTACTCATGAGTATTGGATTACTTAAGTAGGAGTGAAGAAACTTAGTAAATTGTCATGAAATCTAAACTATACTGAAATGATATTGTGTACTTACTAGAGATGGACCGATCCGATATTACGTATCGGTATCGGTCCGATACTGACCTAAATTACTGGATCGGATATCGGAGAAAAATAAAAAATGTAATCCGATCCATTAAATATCACGAAAGCACCTCACAAAACTTGCAACACGCCGTAACTCACCTCAGAACGTTAGCACGTCGGAGCAGTATGCATCACGTGATAGAGCGGCTGTGGCATGCGGGACCTGTCGGTGGTCTGGATAGCATGTGGAGCTTCGCTAGCAACCCGGCATTTCATCTCCGACAAAGTTATCCCCGAGAGAAGTAAAGCAAGTGTGTAAGTCCATCTCTGAATGTTTGTAAAGCATTCCTGCGTTAAGCTTAACGAGCGACTGCCTCTCGCTCTCCGGCTGCTACTTCAATCATGAAACTGCTTAACGATCAGCTGATCGGCTTTTCTGTCGCGAGTCTCTCTGGTTTGTTTTTGGCCCACTTTGCACCAGAAAGAGGAAACCAGCGGATAAACAACAGCAGCACGTTTAAGCTTGATCAGCTGTTGTTAGAATTTATTTAATATTACTTTCTACTCGAGGATCTTTTTCTACGTAGCTGACGGCTGGTAACTGTGCAGGGGCGGATCTAGCAAAGTTTAGCCAGGGGGGCCGATAGGGCATTAACAGAGAAAAGGGGGCACAAAGACATACTTTTCTTTCTTATTCTCATTTAAAATGTCGAGCTTTTAATAAATAATTATCTGACACCCAAAGTTTTAATTTGCTGTAAAATGAATAGAAGTCAATTACTGTATATAGTGACTATTAAGTCTAATATATATACCCTAGTAAGCTATAGTACTTTTTCCTTTGGGAAAGTACCATCTGTGCAGTCTGCAATTTTGTTGAAGAAAGATGTTGAATCTATTTAATATTTCTTGAAAAATAATTGATTTCTGTGCATTTTTTTTCACACTGCATCAAATTAAGGTTGATTACGTCGATTAAGCATCATGAGGTGGAGCGTGAGGGGTGGTTCCCTATTTTTTATTTATTTATTTTTGTTGTTGCTGGGAGTTGGAACCCTATTAGTTAGGTTGCTTAATATTTACGCTAAGTACTCTTTAAAATACCAGAATAGGGAGGATGGTGTAGGTCTAAGTTTATTAGATTGATCAGTATTGCTGAACTATGAAATTTTTTTTTTTGCATACAGGTATAGAATAGCTTTAGTGTAGTTGTTTTAAACTTGAGTATGAACTTATACAAAATGCAGCAAGATATTTAAAAAAAACAGTTTTGTTGATTAAAAAACACTATATCGGATTCATATCGGTATCGGCAGATATCCAAATTTATGATATCGGCATCGGACATAAAAAAGTGGTATCGTGCCATCTCTAGTACTTACCATAAATGTTCTTTTATATTTTAAGTAGTTTTTGTGTTAAGTTTCAGTTTTTGATTACTCTGTTTGTTTATCTTTTGTTTTGTTTTATTACGTGGCATTTTTTCAGGTTGTCAGCACAGTCATGTGGACATCCCAGTCTCAATAAACATCTGCAGCAAAGGAAAAAAATAAAGATATTGTCTGTGTTTTTTTATTTTGTGTTATTTTATTTTTGTATTTTATTTAAGTGCAAGATCTTCTTTCGGATAATTGCTTTTCCATCTTTGTTGGTGGGATGACTAAAATGTATACCACACCCCTTTATAGTTTTTTCACTTAACTGAAATGACCTCCGTTTACAAAAAATAATTAAACAGAAAGAAAACTGTACAGGAAATGTCTTTGCTTTCGTTCTTCTTGACACAACCTGCCTAATGAGGCTTCAGTCCTTTTGTTCATTCAGATTTGGCATGTCAACATGACTGTGAGTCTTCTGTCTTCACTGCAAGCTATGTTTATATCATAAAGTCTATTTTGAACTGACAAACACCCTCTGTAATAAACTGTAGTAAGTAAAAATACTAAAACTCAACATTTTCAAACAGTAAAAACTCAACTGGAAACAACTTGAAAATAAATAAAATGCAAAATAAAGGAGAAATGCAAATTAATGAAATAATATTATAAATCTGTTCTGTATTTACATTTGTGTCGATGTGATTTTCAGAGACCGACTCAGACAAGACCAGCAGAGCGGGGGTGACCCCCGCCACCAAGGTCAGCGCGGAGTCCGTCCTCCTCAGACAGATGAGGTGATCCAGGGCCGCCCCCAACAGCAGCCCCGGGGTCAAGAGCCCAACAGAGCCCAGAGGGACAGACAAGGCCCCCCTCCTCCCCCTCACAGAGACAGACAGCCTCGGGACAGAGACCAGGTAGACACGGAAGAACCTGGATTCACATTCACAGCTGTATTATTATTTTTAAGGCTGTTTGATGCTCAGTTCTTGCCCAGTTTCCTTCTGATTGACTCCCCCCTCACAAACAGAAGGCGTCATCACATTTATCCAAAATTAGGGGGGAAAAATGTTGAAACTGAGTAATCTGAAGCCTTTTGCTTCACACTGATATCATGATTGGAAATTTGGGCATGTTTGACATGAACATTATAACAAAAGGTCGGTTGTGGTTCAGTTTGACCCCTTGCTCCTTTAGCCCACATATTCTCGCAAAATAGTGATTCTTATAGAAGTTGCTTAGCCACAGAATTAAACGCTGTATGAATGTGTGTGAGTGGGTGAATGAGGCTTGTAGTACAAAGTGCTTTAAGTGCTCAGAGTAGAGAAGCACTATGTAAGTGCAATTCCATTCACCATTTATATTAAATATTACAGAAAATAAAAGCGTAACAGGCAGTACAAGCACCTCCTCTCTGTCGGTCTCTCCGTGAGTACTTCGCATTAATTTACTTTCTCTGGATTTTTGCCGCTCCTCAGGATCATGGGGCTCAGCGGGATCAGCCTGGTGACCACAGGCCAAAGTCCAGCTATGTGGCACGGGACAGCAGTCCTCAGTCTCCCAGAGACAAGAGGCCTCTCTCAGGACCCAACATACGCACCCCAAATCTGCCAATGTCTGAGGGAGTGATGAAAACTGCTCAACAAGCCACACGGCCGTTTAACACATACCCGCGGACAGAGAGCGATGGCGGGCGCAGCCCCACTGGACAGGTAGGGGTGGGAACCCTCAGGGAACCAGTGATAAAATCACAGACGTGTCTAAACTGAGCCTGCTGGCAGATCTCCAGATCAGATTTAGCTGCTTTCTTTGTGACGGTTACCATAGCTCCATAATAATCCTGACACTCGTGCACCTCACGAGATGTTGGAAGATGTTGTGACAGAAAAGCTTCATTTAGATTTAAGTTTGTGCTAAAGTTTGGCTCTCTTTTCCAGGTGAGTCGACACCATGAGTCCTCACCTCAGAACGGCCCCTCTAGCGGCTCCGTCCGAGGTTCCTCTGGCTCCAAACCCCCTATAAGCCACCCACACCCTCATCACTCTTCGCACCCCATCCTGGCCCCCGAGTCCTCCCAGCTCCCGCACACCCCTCACCCCAACGTTCCAGCCCCACGACCCCCTGTACCCTCTGGGCCCGCTGCATCGGGTGCTCCTCCTCAGGGCCGCTCACCACAGAGGGAACCCCAGAGAGTTTCCCATGAGCAGTTCAGGGCGGCACTGCAGATGGTGGTCGATCCGGGCGATCCGCGGACCTACTTGGATCACTACATTAAGATTGGTGAGGGCTCCACAGGGATTGTGTGTATCGCTACGATGAAAACCACAGGAAAACTGGTCGCCGTGAAGAAGATGGACCTGAGGAAACAACAGCGCAGAGAACTCCTCTTCAACGAGGTAAAAGATCTGTTTGGCAACTTAAAAAGGTCAGAGTTAACATGCCAGATTATGGCAAAAAGTACACAGAAGTAGGGAATGTAGAGCGTTTGGTTATTCCAGTTGGCTCGTTTGCTCTGCACTTTTTACTGCACTGATGGCCATTGCCTTAACCAGCTGTGAGGTCACTGATCTCTGGAGATCTGTAATTTATATACTTTTGAAAATTTACACAAGGCAGTGTATGAGGTTTTAGGTGGCTTTTATTTTGAAAAGGGTCCATGGTAAACGTACAAACCCAGAAAAGTTAGGACACTGTGTTAAATCTAAATAAAACCAAAATGCATCCTCAGTCAGATTCAATTGTTTTTGTATATTTAAAATTTATGAAGTTTGATACGTTTTTAACACAATAAACAATCAAAATTTAACCCAGTTTAATCGGCACGGTAAAACATTGTCAATACAAATGTTGCGTTTGTATTTCAGAGGCATTCAGAAAGCTGGCTGAACCAGAGAGGAGATGAGATCTTTCTCTGTTCATACAGATCTGGTTTTTTTAATAGTCTCAAATCTAAAAATAATATTTGATGCTTTCCAAACATAGATTTTTATGTTAATACATCAGAGTGGTAGGAAATGCGTGAAATCTCTCCCCACACTCGAGTCAAGATAAAACCAATACAGAAAGTAAGAAGTCGCCTTTAGACACATCTCAGGAGCCTGCGCTGCCGCCTGAAGCGTTGTGGGGTTCACGCTCCATCTCGTCTTCACCTCAGTTGCAGATTTCCGCCTTGGATTTTAAACACTGGACTCCCTTCATGAGTGACGAGGCAGGGCTTCAGTGCGATCAAAGTAATGTGATGATCCTACCTCTCTGTGTGGTAACTGCAGGTGGTGATCATGCGGGACTATCACCATGAGAACGTGGTGGAGATGTATAACAGCTACCTGGTGGGGGATGAGCTCTGGGTCGTCATGGAGTTCATGGAGGGAGGAGCGCTCACTGACATCGTGACACATACAAGGTGAGAGAGAAACTTTATACATCAGTCATTTATGCAGCACCTCGCAGTATTAAATGGCTATAATAATAACAATAATAAGAGTAAAAATCCACCTGTCTATTCATTTTCTTAATCACTGAGACATTTCAGGGTTTACTGAGTTCTCCCAGCTGCAATAGTGATATTAATTACCAATATATACACACACTAAACCTTAATTTATGCATATGCAGTGAATAAACATAGAGCCTATCGAAGTATCTGACACTGATGCAAGCATGTGTGCACATGTTGATCTCCATGTTTGCTGTATGACCAGTAGCGAGGCCGTTCAAGGCTTTATGAGTGATTTAATAAAGTCTCAAAATGAATACAAACTTTAGCTGTAAGGTGGTGAAGTAAAGCAAGAAAAAAGGTGATGTCAGCTAGTTTCTGTTAGCTTAGCTCCAGTGTTCAAGCTAATGAGGACTGAATGCTGGAATTTAAGGAGGAGAAAATTAGTTCCAATTTTTTTACTGTATAGATTTGTTTTTTTGCAATGTTTGCTAGTTGAAGGAAACCAAAATACTTTAGGCATTGTACCCATTATATTCCTTTTTCATATGCTTTAAGCCATTTAAGTCTGCCCCTTATTAAGCTGTTTGTTCACCAGATATGATTTCCGCCATAAGGGGGCGCTGTCTCCTATCTATTCAGCACAGAATCTATGTCATTTTACATTGTTTTCCACGCAACAGGAGTGAGAGTGTTTGGCAGACTGAATCATCTAAGTCTAAAACACGCATAGGGGCTTTTTTTTCTATAAATGTCATAAAGTAAATTTGGATTGGTGTGATGGGAATATTTTAGTCATGTCACGTAATAATTTCTGTCCCTCTGAAAACATTTAGGTAATACATCATGATGGATGTGCTAGTTTCACCACCCTCATCTTGCTGTTTTTATATACGGAAATGTTTAACAGTAAAAGACCGATAACCTGCATGAGCTAATGAAACAGTTCTAGGTCTTATTAACCAAAGTCACTGAAATCTTGCCCAGGCAGGTGGTTATTTTAGGCCTGGAGACTTGCAGTACACTGATAGAAATGATGACGATGAAGAGGAAGCCAATTTGCTTGTTAGTTTACAGAAGTAGGAACATTCAAATTTATTAACATATGACCAGAGAATAGGGTTTAAGCCCCGCTTGTGAAAATGCTAACAAACTGTGCTGATTGTTGTAGGTCAGAAAATGTGATGTTGTTTAAGTAAACAATGATTTGTTTGCTAATTTTGTCAATTTTCTTAAATTTTAATCAGATAATTTAATTTCATGTTATTTGGAACTGACTGTGTTTTAGCTTTAATATCTTAAGTTTGTACTAAAAGAGGTCTTGAAGTCTTAAATTGCACTTGTGTTTACATGTAGACACCCTGTGTGATGCGTATTATTGTAGCTCAAGAACTTTTCACTCCTGACTGTGAACTGAATCACAAAAACTGGTGTCTCTATTCGTCTGCAGGATGAATGAGGAGCAGATCGCCACAGTGTGTCTGTCCGTCCTGAAGGCGTTGTCTGTCCTTCACACACAGGGTGTGATCCATAGAGACATAAAGAGCGACTCCATCCTCCTCACTCATGACGGACGGGTATGTACTACACTTCTGTAAGAATCAGTTTAAGTTCCTGTTTTGCAGCGTAACACTCAATAAAACTTCTCCGGAAGGAACAAGCGTTCAGATGTTGTCAACATCCACAGAATTAAGTTGTATTTCTCTGCCATTGCTCTGGCATGTGCATCTGTAAATGCAAAAAGACAAAGTCATAGTACTGCATATCAGCAATAATCAGCTGACTTTCATGTCAGTTCCTCTCATGAAAAGAACTTTACAATGATAACCTCGCCCAGCCCTGCAGCCTCAGTGAGCTCCGCACATCAGCATGTGAACGGATTCTCCAAATGCTCTGGTTTCTGGTTAGAGCGACCCTCAGCTCACAGCGGATTTCCAGAGCAGAACAAAAACTGTCTTCTGAAGGAATGTGGGATTTGAGTCACTGAATAAGAGAGCAGCTAAATGCCACTTGGTCATCCTGCCGGTGGGGTCGCGATTGGCAATTGTTAGCTGGTTTGCAGGGACTCGCCTTTCAAAATAATTTTGAGGGAATTAAAACCTAAACAACGAAGAACTGCTTTAAATTATGTATGAATGTCTGACATGTTTTTTCCATAGAACCGAACAGTTTTTTTTAATGTTGGAGCAACACAAGAGAAACCCCAGCCAGCTGATCGGTCAAAGTTTCACAGGAAGGTGAATCATATAGTTCTGTTTTTAAAACAACGGCCTCACGCTTGTGGTTTTATGTCAGACCACAACGTAGTTGCTGAGAAAGCACTTTTTTAGCAAAAGACTGTAACAGACCTTTTATCACCGAGCGTCTTCTATTAGTCATACGAAGAAGAGCACAAATATCATAAATCGCAATGTTGTGCATGTCTAAATATAGACTTGCACATGACCGTTGAAGTATCACCAAAGGAGATTCGTTTCCCCTCAGACCCTCGTATGCCTCGGCGGTGCTTGCAGAGGGCAGGAGAGCCCGTCGATAGACAGAACTCGCTGACCTCCTGAGCGTTACTGGGGCTGGGACGGCTTGAATTAAAACTTGTCCTCCACTCGATTATGTGGGTCACAGTGACAGAGCCTTCTATGACAGGGGTGTTGTTTCTCTGGTCCTATGATCACTGAGCTCTCCACCCCCACCCTCAGTTCCCTTACTGGAGTTTGCACAGTGTTTTTGTTTTTTTGTTTTTTTTATAATGTGGTGCACTTTCAGTTTAGCAAGTGTAACCCTGGTTTTTTTTTTTTTACTATTCAGAAAAGAGCTCACAGCTGCTGAATGTGCTTGTGTAAATGTGTCTGGTCAGTATGGGGCTGTACATAATGGGCAACTTGTGGGCTGCAGTTTTTTGGGGGGAGTTTTTTTGTTTACTCATTTGCATGTTGAGTGTCGGATTAATCTGTCACAGGAAACCATTTTAAACTAAATAAAACACGTTAAGCGTGAGACTGTCAATTGATGAGGTAGAGCTTTGTGGCCGGCTCACCTCTCCATAGGTCTCTTTAAGGATTAAGACTTATAGGACTTTGGGCTTATGCTTGACGTTGAGGTGAAGGCGTTTGGTACTTACTCATGATGGTTAAACTTCATGATTAAGAGATGTGAAAAAGCCTTGATGTCAAAGCTAGCCAAATAAACATGCCCGCGTATGTACTGCACACGGAGTGGAGCAGGCAGCAGTCACTCAAACGGAGAAAAAAGGGTTTTGGTAAAATATAAGAAAACATTCATCCAAATACTGTCAAACTTGTCACTGCCTTTAATCCAGCCTGCACCAGTATACCTGCCACGTTGAAAGTGTACTAGATATAGAGAAAGGGCAGAACAGTCAGATGTAGAGACATTCAGATAGAGATGAGCCTGAAATGTCAAATACGAGGAGTTTTCAAACACTTCAAACAAGGGAAGAGAAGAAATTTCAACCCAGGCCTGTGTTCATATCCATGTAAAACACTTTTACATAAAAGTGTTTTACATGGTGTTTTACATGGAGAGACAGCCTTTAACAAAAAGGCTGTCTCTCCTATCTTTTTATTCTTAGTTTTAATTTTAAAATTATTAATTATTAGCTAGTTATATAGTGAGCACAGTTGAAGTATGACTCTTTTCTATTTAAATGTGAGGGTGGGGGTTTCCCAGTAAACCATTACTTAAGCAGAATGCACTAACCACTAATATTAATAGCATTATCAGAGTTGTTTTCTGCTGTAGCGCATCACGCTGTCTGCTGTGAGAAAGGACTATGGCATGCACCCGTAGTGGTGCAGCTTTATCCCTTCTAGTTAAATTTAGTCTCTTGAGGTGCACAAACTCTGCAGGATGCACTGCAGCCACTGACAAAACCAAGCCCACTTCTTGCATGAGTTAAAATAAAATGGCAGCTAGAAAAAGGAACCAGATGCCTCTTAACCACTACTGCATCTGAGACAGATGCCCAATCGCTTCCTGCCTGGTGACAAGCAAGTTTCTACTTTCTACAGAAAATAAAACCACAGTTAAACCAATAAAAAAAGGAACTCATCCTCTGGTGTGTCATAGTGTGTGTGCGTGCGCGCGCACACACACGCACACACACACACACACACACACACACGAACTGTGCCTCTAAACCTGAAGAACTCTGCAGGTCTTGCTGACTTAATGTTTTAATATCACTGCTGCCAGAATTTTCTCACATAGGATAAGTTGATGTAACCGTGACGCTGAATGCGTTCACTGTGTGTGTTGTAGCTCTCTCATCACATCATGAAATCAAAATTCTGCAGAAATCCACACACATTTCTTCATAGAAGACGAGGCTCTATATTGTGTACAATGAAATGCCCAAAAATCAGTTCCTCATTAGAAAAGTTTTTTGTGCTGTTCCTGTAGAGAAGCGGCTGCCGTGTATTTCTGGCGTCGTTACACCTGCAGTTTCTCCTGGCATTGTGATCATCGTCGTTTGGTGGTTTTGTTTGTAATTCTGTTCACATCTCAGTTAATAGCTCATCAGCACAGAACAACCATTTGCCTTATTATACAGTAAATTATTAAACTGGAGCTCAGCAGTTTGCCACCTTTCTTTTTTTTCATAACCTCATAATCATCTTTGATCTGGATTCACACCCCTTTAGTCAGAAAGTGCAGATTCAGATCACGGATGCTAGGCTGTCTGTAACAGCTGTTAAAGCTGCAATCAAGACCACACGTTTCACTGTAACTCTTCAGCCCTGCAGGGCCGAGTTGGCCCACCACTTCTTAATTCACGTTTAATAATTCGAATAAATTCCAATGAGAGGAAACCTGCTTATACAGTGTAGTGCGTATATATTATACACAGACTGAGGTCTTTGCTGAGCCTCTTCTGAGAGCGCACTTGCTGTGCAAGTCACACATTTCATGCTTCTGCATAAACCACTTTGCGCTTGATCACATCTGATGAATGCTTGTGGGTTGATGTCTTTATGAGCTGTGGTTTCGCCATCCCCTCGGCCTCCAGATCTATGCATGACCAAGCGTTTGTCTGCAGTGACACCAAAGCGCTTTGTCTACTCTGTCGTGAGACAGATAAAGCACCTGCCAGCTGTGTTTAATCTTCCTGTGAGACTCTGTGTCCACAGTTTGCTGCAGTAGAATAACATGAGTAAACGAGCGTTAACATGGCAGAAATGTTTCTATTGTAATGTCTCCAGTAGTGCTTTGGTAGCTCTAATGACCTTCAGATTGTTTCTTTTATTTATTGTATGATGTGTTGGCTAGTTTTTCAAACACTGCAGATTCTACAAACACAAAGTGTTAGCTTATTATTATTATTATTATTATTATTTAAATTTCATCTTTGGAGGGAAAAAGGCTCTAAGGGAGGGATTATATTTGCTTACTGACACAGATGGACACCACAGATGAGTCATTCCTGTTCTCCTTTTTTCCAAGTAGACTTGGAGTCCATCTGTAGGGTTTGTGTTGAAGTCCTCATGCTCCCAAAAAACTGGTGGGCACGCAGATGTTTGCATGCAGCCTTGTGCTCAATGTCTGATGAGGAAATTTACATCGCTTGAATGCAAAACTTTTAACACCCACACAAATCATCATCACCATCTGACAAATCTTATTAGTCTAAATACTGAATGCTGTTGAAACTCAACTATATAAAATACTCACCCATACAGCACTAAAACTGAAAGCGCAACTTCCATACATGTCTAAAGACTGCAAATGTATGAAGGGTGGCAGGTCCTCTAAATGATTTTCTAAGAATATTTTTCTTTATCAGTGTAATAATAAACAGTATAAACCCCCACAACCTTCTTAGAGGAAACAAGTTTAAGAGTATAACCAAAAAATAAATAAATTCTCACCGTTTTATTGCCTGTAAACCAGCCTCATAGTTAAAACATGGCTCGGTTAACATGAGTCTAAAGTGGCATGTCTAAGGAGTACACTTCCCAGAATAAATTGTTTCCCCGTTGTAAGCAGAGGATGTCTTGCTCCATCCTAGTGATTAGCTATGCAGTCATTTTATTTCCAGTATCTGTATTAGTAGTTAAAGTTTCAGTAAATTAAAAAAATCAAGTCAGAGTGTCATCTGTTAGCACCCTGAATGAACCTAAACGGGTTACAATAAAACATGAAGCACTGACGTGAATGCAGGCTCTGGGGGAAGTAGCGGTCTGCTTATTTGAAAACCGTAGTTTGAAGTTCTCTGGGTGGTCTCGTTCTCTCACGGAGCGCTTCCTGTTGGCAGCTGTGGTGTTTTGGTGCTGGGCTGGGTTTTACTTGCTGCTTGTGGTTTGGCCTGGCAGGGGAAGCAGAATCAGCCAAGCAAGAAGCGTTTCTCGGCAGAGGGGCGAGAGTGTTCGTTGCGTCTGAATGCACCTGCGTGCTGAGCGCTGCATTTGTGTGATGGTTTCATCCTCCTACGGTAAGGTCAGGCAGTGGGTTTTTGTTCTGGGTTGTGCTGTATCGTCTGCTGGACGTGGAGCTCAGTGACCATCGTGTTCATGTTTGTGTATGGTGGTGTTCACACATGTGCAGTGTGAACCACTTCTCCTAACAGGCCGTTTCATTTCTCTTTGTGAGTAATCTGAACCCAGCAGCCAGCACTGTGGCAGACACTCAGCACAAGGCTCAGTGTCTGAGTGTGCAGCCATGCAAAAACTTTCTCAGAAAGAGGTGTGGATGGCAGCGATGCCTGACTGACATGAGGTCATGTGTGGTTCATCAGATAAACTGTGTGAATATTTATTTTTATGCGGCTGAAACAGTAAACTGATAACCATTCTGGCTCTGTTACCAGGAGTCTATTATCTAGTATCCAAGTGGCGTTTTACACAGAATCAGATTGTATATGTGTGCATCATGCAGGCAGGAAAGTACACCCACACTTATCTAAACAAATGAATGAATAATTGCACACACACACTTGGGGAACTTCAGATCAGCTGAGCTTAAAGTCACTTCCAAATTCAGTCCACTAACTCCACCATCTTAATCTGAAAGTAGCTGCAGTCTTACCCAAAACATGCCTCAGCTCTCTGTCTCCGTAAACTCTTATTTGTTAGTTTTTATTGAACTGAGTGAACATGAGGGATGAACCAGGGCATCACCATTGGCTCAGTATCATCCCTTCTTTGGTCAGATTGTGTGGAGAACATCAGACTTCATTCATCTTTTATATACAGTTTACACTCTGACTGTAGGGTGAGTGAATGATATCAAGTCACTAGGTGGGGAAACATGACACAGGAAGTGCTGGAACCAGCTGTTTAGCAACAACAGAGCGTTCAAGATAAGAGCTATGGGGACTGCCCACAAATGAGACTCAAAATGAGCACGAGCTGCTCGCTCAAGTAAAGTCTGTTTGAGAAAAGCTGTTTGATGTTAACAATAATGTTCCTGTTTCTTCTTGTCTTCTTCTCCTCCTTCCTCTCCATCTGCAGGTGAAGCTGTCCGACTTTGGTTTCTGTGCACAGGTGTCTAAGGAAGTGCAGAGAAGGAAGTCTCTGGTTGGAACTCCATACTGGATGGCACCAGAGCTCATATCCAGATTACCTTACGGACCAGAGGTAACACTCTGGCTGTGTTGTCTGTCAGGATAAACCTGTATTTTTGTCTCCACCCCTCACTGGTGGTCTCTCCTCTCTGTGTCCAGGTGGATATCTGGTCTCTGGGTATCATGGTCATAGAGATGGTGGATGGGGAGCCACCGTACTTCAATGAGCCGCCACTCAAAGCCATGAAAATGATTCGAGACAACCTGCCACCCAAACTGAAGAATCTGCACAAGGTAGAGCAACAGAAGAAAGGGCAATAAGCTGAAAACACCAGAAATAAACCAGACAGATCAGCTTTTATTAAAACCAGCCTTTGTATGAAACACAGTTGAGTTGGCAGAATTTAGTGTTGCAGTTTCCCCTTAGTGACAGAAACACAATCAAAAGCACAGAAATTTTAGTTTTATATGAAAGCAGAACTTCTGCTTCCACAAGAGGAAGAATGGAGTGGTGGTGTTTATGGCCACTGCTAGCACAGGTGTGATTATAATTTGTCCTTATTTTAATGTTGCATGAGCGAAATGACATGCAAGGTGAAAGGAGTGTTCAGTAATCTGCAACTTTGATTTCTACTTTGTGTCATCAAGCAACAATGACAGAAGTTATCTGTGGCCTGGCTCAGGTCCTGGTGCTGATGCCACCTGAACTAAAGAGTCCCCAAAAGTTGCTTCTGTTCGTCTGGATGTAGCGTTTTCAGTGGGAGAAACGTTTCATCACTCATCCAAGTGACTTCTTCAGTTGGATGAGTGATGAAACGTTTCTCCCACTGAAAACACGACTCACCAGATGAACAGAAGCAACTTCTGGAGATTTACCTACCTGGATGATTGAGAATGCATCAAAACGAGCTAAAGAGTATGACATCCATCAGGGCAGTACGCTTTCAGATTAAAAGCAGTGTTCAAAGGGAGCTAAGACTCTCATTTCCTTCTTGATATTTTTAATCCTGGGCATTCCCAGAGTAACTCTACATGATTCACAATTCAAAATAATACTACTTTTATTTATTCTGGATCCCTCGGTGCACACGGTCTGAAAAAAGCTGCTTCTGTGCAGCTTCCATGTGCCTGAGATGACCGTATCAAGCATGTCTGCTCTCAGGGACATAAAAACTGTTTGAGACTGTTTTTGAACTAAAATATTTGAGTCTTTGGCTTGTAACAGTGTTTTTCCTGCCTTTGGGGCTTGTAACTTCATCGGCATCTAAACACAATCGGTAAACATTAAAGTACAAGCTTCAACTTTTATTCATGTTTTAACAAAACAAGTAAACTGTGAGTAACTAACCAATGTGGTTAAATGAAGCATCTGATTGGTTGTTAGATTAACAGCTGGGTGTTTTGGCATCAAGCAATTAAAATCTTAACTCTAGCATCAGTAACACCTGGATGTCTCTTTTCTCCCAGGTCTCCCCTCTGCTCAAAAGCTTCCTGGACCGGATGTTAGTGCGAGACCCGGCTCAGAGGGCCACCGCCAGCGAGCTTCTCAAGCACCCGTTCCTGTCGAAGGGGGGGCCGCCGTCCTGCATCGTGCCTTTGATGCGGCAGAACAGGATGAAGTGAGATAATACGCGCCACTAAGACGCCTGGACTCTGGAGATGGTGTTACAGGATACTCCTGCACACACAGGAGTGACCCTCAGAGGTCACAGACAGGAGACGTGAAAACAGGGTGTGCAGGAGTATCCTCTGAGTCACTGAACTGCGAGAGTGAATTCCATAAAACAAACAGAGGCAATAAGGTGGAGTGTTTGTGTGTTTCATACATGTGTGTGTGAGCAGCAGAGGAGCCTCCTGTAAACACTTTTACCTGAAGAGCCTCAATTGGAAAGATTAAGAACTGTGGATCTTTTTTTCCTCCTATCTGTGGCCCTTACCTGGATTCGAGGTGTGAAGGTGAGGTTTTGCACACCAGTCTGATGCTTTGAAGGAGCTGAGAGCCCATTGGCTGATTTTTAACATCACTATTGGACAATCTGTAAGCCGATTTTCGTTCTTTCGTTTTTTTTTCCCTGCATTCGGAGACTGTCCTCATCACAGCCAGAACTTACTACTGAGAGAGGAGATCTTGTGGCTCCGACTTTATTCTGTAGCCTTAAAAACACTAATTTCCTGTCGTAAACAAGCAAACGTACACTAAGTGAAAAAGTAAACACTGGAGTCGTGGTTTCAGATGAATTTTCTTCTTCTTTTTCTCCTGAAGTACAATGAACATAGAGAGCTATATCACTTGTGATGTTATACTATCTGTTTTGTGATTGTTTTATTGTTGTTGTAAAGTGTTTCCTGGTTTATTTTAGAGTGAGATGTGGTGATTTTGTTTCTTAAGCACTGTTGATGAGAGATAGAAGCTGCACTCCCAGTTTGATTTTGTTTTGTAGAGAAAGACCACATACAGCACACACAGCCCCTTAAACCTGGGTCTGAGTGTCTGAGTCACCCCCTGGGTTTGGTTGATTTTCACTCGTGTTTTTAGAACAGTAGGGTTTAAACACTCAACGCTCACTCGACAAACTAGAAAACGAGCCTGACTTGCTGCTCGTTGGCCCGTCACTGAGCTGTTTTTATTCTGTGGTCCTTTCATGTCTTTGTCCAAAGTTTCCAGCTGCTGACATTGTTCCTCTGCTCGTTTCGTGTTTGATTGCCACTTTGAGTCCACTCTGAAATAAGACAATACCAGGTCTCTGTCACGCAGAGGCTTTTATTTATAGGACGATGTTAACACTACTCCACCTCACAAACAGAAGTGTCAGCCATGATTAAGAAAAGCAGCTTCGTTGTCGATGAGCTGTGCTGCTCACGCTCCAGCGGAGAGTGTGTCTGTTGGAGATGTAACACTTGTGTGAAAATCTGCGTCCAGCTGCTAATAATGTAGAGATGGTTAAAAACTAAAGGAAGCACGAGACCTGAGGCACAGATCTACCCTTTAAGGGACAGGTTACCAAAATCAGGCTTGTTCATTTTTTCCTCTGGACTTTTGGTGCGAGTTGTGCTGTTTTGGAGATATCAGCCTTTGCTTTAATATAATTCAACTAAATGGTTATTAAAGTGCTGCAGAGCTTGCCATCATTTTACCCGGTTACTCAAACGAACAGTTTGTTTCATGGGGGAACTGTTTTTTTTCCAGTGAATAGAAGCATGTGGCCTGCTATCGTTACAGCTCAGCCGAGAGGGAGGACATTAATGTTGTGGTGCAGCGTCTGTTTATTCAGCTCTTTGGCTGCACAGAGAGAGGAACTGTGCAAATTCAACCAGCACACATGCTTTGGAGTGTTTGCGGCCCTCTAAAAAGCCAACGGGGTTGGGTCAGATGCTGATTGGTTGATAATCTGACACAGTAAGAGAAGAGAACAGCAATAAAGTTCCTCGCAAAGAGGAAGAAATGCAACCAAAAGAAACTGACGAAAGTGGAAAGTTTTCATTCTTTTTAACACTCAGTTTAGCGACAGAGAAGAAAGAGAGAGGGTGTGTATTTTGACTTCTGTCACCTAAAAACAGTCAGCTGCTGGAGCAACAACAGCACTGAGTTTACCATATTTTTTGGCACCACTCCCTGGTAACAGTACAAGTTTCAATATGTAAATGTGGACCTGCAAGCTCTGCTGGTGCACGACCATTAGCCTCTCGACACGGGCCGCTTACACTTCCTCCTGGAGAATGATACGCTTTCAGATGTGGTTTGGTTGAGAGAAAATAGTTCCTGCATGAAAATTCTTGGTTTTTGTATAAGGGCACTTTTGTTGAGCTTATCGTGCTTTCAGGACTATTTAGTTCCACAATTTTCTAAATCCATGTTCTCCAAACCTGCACAACTCGCACCAAAACAATCTAAGTGGGTAAAGAGCTCTGATGGGTAGAAGAAGAATATGGAAATGTGATTTTTTTTTTTTTTTTCCGGCCTGCCCTTCCTCTTTTAATTTTCTTGCAGCTCATAGAAATCATAACCGTTACCAAATGATGACGACTCAAGTCCCAAATTCCTCCTTAGGCGGCTGAAATCGACTGACAGTATCACAGTTTGGTAAAAACAAACTAAAACCTAAATATGAAAAAAAAATCGCGATCTCTTTAGTTTCAGTGAAATATCAAAGTAACCCGAGGATTGGGCTGTCTACACAACCACATTACAGCAAACTGAAACATGCAGACCACTCAGGAAACTGATTTTAAATGAAGAATTTTTAAATAAATAAAGATATAAACTAATAAATGAAAACTACTTATAATAGTTCAGTTTGATTTTTCTTTTTTTTTTTTTTTTCCTTTTTTTGGGGGGGGGGTATGCTTCTGCCCTGGCAATCCTAAGATCAGTAAACAGAAGTCATTCCATGAAAACTTCCGTTCTTCCCGCCTGACCTGCTCAGAATCAGCTGGTTTTTCTTCATGTACAATAACTTTAGTATATTTCATGAAGCCGTGCATAATTTTGCCTTCATGCTGTGAAAGCTTTTTCGTCGCAGACCATCAAGAGTACAAAACTTTGCACTTTTAATGAAGAGCAAGCCTCTGTTAGGGGCTGTAACTCTGAAAGTATGAAGGTAAAATGTTGCACAGCTTCATTCCATAAACTGAAGTTGGTGTAAAAAAAAGCAGTCAGCTGATTCTGAGGGGGTCAGGCTGACATTTTCAGACTTAACTACCCGTCTGAGATCTGTGCAGTGTGTGACTGTGAGCAGTCGTTCTTAGAACGATGGAAGGAAAGCTGCTTCTGCTGTGATCCAGCGCCCTGCAGGGAGACGGATAAACAACCTGCAGACGCATTCCTATCTCGGCCTGTTTCCATTCCTTCTTTGTCTTCCAGTTCAGCCTCCACATCCGACCAGAACTCGGTCAGGTGGCTTTTTATAAACTGCCAACCCAGAATACTTCCAATCGATGGACACAGGGAAACATGTAGCACACTTACAGGTGCCTTCTGCTTTTTGGAAACACTCCTGGAGGTGTATGACTGGGTGGCCTTTAGCACATTTACTGTACTTGACATAAATGTATTGTTAACCATGCTGACGCAGCAGCTCTCTAACTGATATATTTGAAGCTTTGTACAAAGAGCAGCAGCACAGAGTAGAAGCACGTCAAAGCAGGAAGTAGGTTTTAGTTCAAGCTCATTGTTTCCTAACATTGTTTATCATTTCTGCAAAGCACAGCTAGCTGCGGTTTGAAGATGGTTAAAATGACACCCTCTTTTCCAGCTGCGCAGGACTGCTGGAGTATTTTGCAAGTCCAAAATAACACAGGGTGCAGTTCATCCTCCATCTGAGAAGAGCTGTTTTAGCTCCACCCCCTGTAACCCAACTAACTTCTGATTAAGAATAATTTTTTAACCAATCATTTCATTCACTATCCAGCTCAGTGTTCGAGGCTGTCCCACTTTAATAGGACGAGAAACGGGGAACAGATGTGACAGTTTGGATGACTATTTGACTGCTCAGTGAAAAAATAGTTTTAAATTATACACGCCTTCCCTTTTTTTTAGCAATAGACTGTATATAAAAGATGTCTGACTGTGCATAAACTGGATAATCGGCATCTGACTCTAAAAATGAAATCTTTACAAAAAAGACCTCTATACAGAGTAGCTGCCCCCTTTTGGACATTTAGAAGAACGCAGGTGTAAAGCTTTGTTTTTGACACTGGATCGCTTCTGTGGTTTTTATCAGATGTGACATCAGTGAGCCTTTATTCTGTTTGCCAATAACAACAATAAAAGAAGACAACCTGCTCCTGGTGTCCAGGCGGCAGACCAGTAGAGCCTCCGCACTGATGCTGACGTGTCCAACTCCTTATGAGGTCCTCTAATCTTTAACAAACCCCAGCTTTAAAAACAAACAAACAAAAACAACAGCTTATACAACCCTGGTGATTTTCCTTTGGTTGGAGGCCAAAACGTGTTTGGAAGCAGCTGCTCGATATTTGAAACTTTGGCCTTGTTTTCAGGGATTTTTCCAGTCTTAAAACGAGCGTTTACGCACGTGAGAACATGTCAGCAGGGTCTGCGTTACCTTCACTGGTAGAAATGTGTGATTTCAGCTTACTTAAGACCATTTCATTAACAAAAACAGTACGCCTGTGTTAACTACGCCCTGGTTTTCTTTGGCACAGGCTAAAACCTGGAATTTCTGCAGGTTTAATATCAAGTAAAGCAGAACCGACCCTGCTTTCGTGAAGCAGGCTGAAGGATTTCTCAGTGAGAGCAGCATCACCCCGCACAGTTTCACGGTTTTTCTTCTGTGGTTACATTGAAGATGCAGACTCCGTTAGGCGGCACCTTAACCTCGGGGAAAAGCTTTCTTTCAGCCGCTTTAACCTCTGATCGTGTAATAATGTGTTGAATTTTTAGCTTCAGGCGCTCAGCACTGATGTGCCCATGCCTTCCTGCAGTTTTTCATAAAAGTGGAGGCGGAAAAAGAATAATTTCCACCCCATGAAAACGTGCGTTACGATATTTTCCATGCCCGGGTTTCAATCTGCATGTTTTTGTGCCACCACAGGATGAACGTAGGTTAATTGTAAACCTCGTCCCTGCCGCTCTTTTTTTTTTTCCTTCCTCTTCAGAAGCATCCGCTCAGTTGAAACGTCTCGCAGGCGTTTTGTACTTTGTCTTCTTGGCAGCTTCCCAGGCTGTAAATTATCATCTGGATGTTCTGTGGTGAAAAGTGGAGCAGGCTGGTAATGAGTCACCGAGCGCAAAAGGCGAATGAAATGCCGGACTGGATGACAATCTTTATTTAGTGATTGAAACACTCTGAACTTCGCTGTTCTCTGTTTTGTGTATCGATCCCAGATCAGCCTCTAAATTCAGCTTTAAACTGCACGTTTTCACACTGATTAACACGAAGACTGGCCTCCTGCTAATGCCGCTGATTCTTGTTGGGTTTTTATTGGCTGTGTTTCCTGCTGAACTTTGTTAATCTGTTATAAGTTGCTGGTTAAAATGACTGGATCATACTGGGGGCACTGGAAAAGCAGAATAAGAGTCCAACTCTTAATTGTTTGTTTTGAAGCCACATCAGCCCCAATATTAAAACCACTTAAACCTCGTCCCTCATCCTGGGCAGCTCTGGTCTGTCTGGGCAGGAGGCTTTTTTTTCAGATAGCCAGTGGAAATAGAACCTTTTATATCGATTTAGAGTAGGACTGCATGTCTGGCAGCAGTTCTTTGGGGTCTCTGTGGATCAGGCACCGGGCCGGCTCAGCTTTTAACACATCAGAAGGTCATGGGTTTAAACCCTGGCTGTTTGCTTGCTCTTCCAATGCCTCCTAGGGTTTCTCTGGAAGAACAGTGTAGGCTTTCATCTTCCACATAGAGACAGGGGAGGACATCCAGGAGGCTTCCCCAGCAGGAGAGCCTCGTTCACCTGTTCAGCCAAAACCCGTGACCAAGCGTGGATCCGCTGAACCACAAAAGCTGCACACGGTCGTAGCTTCTGCCCTCATTTCTCTTTCTCCTTCTCCTTAACTCCTCCAGTCTGTTTTTCTGTGTAAAATGTCTCACCTGCCTGTCCTCCACGCTTCATCGTGCCTTTCACACACTTTCATCAATGATAAAAAACTGAAAAACAATAGCAGCAGTCAGAATCGCTCTCGTTTCATGGATGAGTCGCTGCTCCACACGTGCACTCATTCCAGCGAGTGCAGGAGGCGACATCAGCATCAAATTGTAGTGAAGAAGATTAAATGTAAATATTAATTTAAAAATATTGATTGAATGAATTGATGCAAAAACAAGATTCTCCCAACACTGAGAAACCTGTGAGAGACGGCAGCTGTCGGGGAGCAGGACGTGTTCAGGTCACCTGTGAGAGGTTTGAATTTTGTGGCTCGTTGACACCTTAACCTAGATTTACTTTAATTCGTGCTTTCCGGATTAATCGGTCACTTCACTGCCCTCAAAACTGCGATGCACAGAGAAACTGGCACGCACGAGACCAACGGCTTCAGTCTCGTAATTTTTAACTTTGTTCTGCAAACGTTTCACGTGTTTTTCTTGCAGTAGAAACGTCTGGTTCGTGAGTCGAACAGAACACGTCCACGATGAAGGTCTAATATGAAACATTGCAAGTAAATTAAATATGTTTTTGGATGTTAGTGCGCAGGAGTCTGTTCATAGCTGTTTTTAAGTTTTTCTTTCTGTTGTGTGTGGAGTTTCTTTTGTTTTTTGTTTTTTTAATTGTCCCAAACAGCGGCCCTGATCCCGGGTCAGATCGAGTCTCTTTTAGTCTGGTGACAGTTTTTTGTCATGTTGTAAAGACGCTCTGTTTTTTGTGTCACCCCCGTTTGATCAGCTGTCCTTTATCAATGTGAATCTTGTTCATCTGGTGTGCCAGATGTTGCTTAAGTAGCCGTAACTACGTGTCCGTGGACCAGATTGTACTGCTGTGTGTGCAGACACGTCGCGATTTCATGCCTTAACATTTACAGCCACTACTTGACAGACAACTAACTGACTCTGACGCTGGGACCGCTGGTGATGGGGGAGAAGGACACTTCCATGATGCTTTATCCTCTTCTCATCTCACATATCTGAGGGGTCTTCATCATTTAAACATGCTTAAAGTGACAGCTCTCACTGACATTCCTCACAGACATCTGATTGATTGATGGGGCCAGGGAAGAGGTCCGGTCCAAAAGGATTTTTTTTTCAGGAAGCAGGGCTGCTAACTTTCAATTTTCCTACAGATCTGTCAGAGGCGTCCTGTGGATCATTTTGTTAACAGGGTTCAGGGTTCAGTGCCTTTCTTTGAGGCATCGTTTTTAAAAGTTTTCCTGCTTCTTGGGAAAACTCCTGCAGGACCTTCCTCTGGTTTCCACAGCGAACGAGTAACTGACTGGAATACAACAAACGGCCTGTTCAGATTTCCACTGACTTGTTGAATATCTGATTTTGTTGATGTGTTGTTTTGTCAGACATGCGAGCGACTACCTGCACCGTTTTTGTAAATGTCACTGGTGTTGTAAAAACATAGATTTTACTCTGCAAATTTTACTTTTTTGCAAATACAGTTTTTGTAAAAGATCCACAGAGTCTGTGTGTTTCTTATTTCCTTTCTTCGTGTGCCTGGTGTGTTTGAAATGTTGGTCGTGCATAAATGTGTTTACATGGTGGAAAACAAACACGACTCAAAGAGCTTGGCCCAGTTACAGATCAGAGGTTATTACAGAGACACGGACCAGAATTCATTTTAAAGATGGCGTCTTCATGCTTTGGTATGTGGCTCAGTGCAGCTTAACCCGTCCTCTATGACAGCAGCTTGCGGCTCTTCTGGCCACGTCTGAGGTCTCGATGACTTAAATAAGCAAACATGACAGTAAAAAAGTTACATTCTCATTTCTAAACATATGTTACCTGAAAACTGAATTTGAAACATTTAAATTAGTGTGTCAAGCTGGCTCCTCATTCTCGTGCCTAACCTCTGTGGTGGCAGTTAAACAATAACAAACGTACGCGTCTGTTCCTGAGTCGTCCTTCACTCCACTTGAGTTTAAGATGCGAAGAGGAGTAGTTCAAAGGCCTGATAGGATCTCATTATCCTAACGCAGCTCTTCACTCTCAGACTCCAGGCTTAATTATAGGTTCATAGTTTGTAAACATATGTTACAAGTGGCCATGGCTGTGCAGAGATGTTTGAAGGGGCGGGTGCTCAAAGTTAAACAGGGACACATAGAACCAAGCTGAAGAACAACAACCCAGAATCACATCATACTACATCACTGTCTTCAGGTGGGGGACAATGCAAAGCAAATGTAGCCCATGTTTTACCTGATGGGTATAGTGTTGCTGCTGATCGTGCTGGAGGGCAGGCCTGTGTTGATCTCGACATGATGTAGACATTAAAAAGTCCACAGGAGAGATGGTAGCTGATTAAACAGGTGTTAGGAGATAATAATGAAATGCAAAGATTGGTGACAGCGCTTGGAACCGTGATCCAGAATTCTTCCCTTATTATTTATTCGTAGTGCGATATTAATAAAGTAATAAGAATTAAAAAATAAAATAAAATCATAAATATAAAAATGTGTTTATTGACAAAATAATGTATTTATGATGTTGATTTGTTTGACTATCCACTCTGTGCAGGCAGAATGCTTATTAAATGTTTAAACTGTAGAGATGTAATAATTCTGCTGCTGTAAAATCAGCATTTTGAGATATTTGGGGCATTGGTTAATCGTAATCATGTGACTGATGCAAGCCAGATCCTTTTATTTAGCAAAAATGGGATTACTAGTTAAATGTTATTGTTGAAGGGCACAGGCAGGAGTCCACATGCACACACAAATTTAAAAAACACAGTAAAAAAGGGAAAGGAGCTGGTGCCAAAGCCCCCTGCACGTGCCTGCAAGTGACTTTAGCTTGCAACTAAAGGGGAAGTCCACACAAGGAAGATATGCATTAACTGTTTTATTGACAGGCGGTGGAAAGGATCAGTGAATCAGTGGTGACGTATATGAGCAGAAAGTCTGAAGTCCATCAGGCAGGAAGCGAGAAAAACCAGGTCAGCTCAGATACAAACACATCTGCTCCGCCCACAATTTAAGCAGTAACTGTAACTGAATACAGTTACTCATATTTTGTATTTTAAATATGTAACACGTGTATTCCGTTACTCCCCAACACTGTCTATAGCAGTGGTGTCAAACATAAGGTGCAGGGTTCACAATCAGTCCAACTAAGACTTCAATCCAAACAACTTCCTGTGAAAAGGGAGTTCTTCCTCCCTGCTGTCAAGTGTGGGATTTTCTCCTAGTATTTAAAAAGCAGTTTTATTTTCCTGATTTCTGCCTTCAGAGCTGCTGAGTGTGTCACAGTCATTAGTTTATAAGCAGGAAGTCGTACATGGATGATATGCAATTAGTGCAGAGATGTTGGCACAGTGAGGCCAAAATCTGACACCTGATAAACTTGTGAGTTTGCTGATGAGCTGATACAGCCACCAGAGGAAACCTTGATAAATAAATAAAAAAATCACTTGTGCAGCATGCAGGGAGCCAGTGCCGTTTTATTTTTAGTATTTCCGTCAACTCGCCCCGCCGGCACCGTGTTCTGCAGGCTGCGGCTCGTCGCTTTTACTGTCAACAGTGAGACTGAAGGGTGGGTTCCTCCAAACAATGACAGCTGTGTTTGTGGTCCCTGTGGGCGTGTGAACCTCAGACAGATGGGAAAGAAGAAGTGAGGGGTTTGCTTGTTTGTATGTTTAGATCTTGTGCTATATTCAAGATGAGTGTCCACCTGTGCCTGTTGGGATGGGTTACCTAAAACTTGGAACCAGGTTGTTTTTGAAATATGTAAAAAGAAAAACTGAATTTGGATACTTTTTCTACTTGTTTTTCTTCCTGTATTCATTCTGCTCCTCTCTTCAGTTGAAATGGTTGTTCACACACACACATTTGTGTGCAAGAAGGTCCATTTTATAAAAGATGAGGCCTGAAAAATTAAGTTACTTTAACCTGCAGGGGGCGACTCCTCTGATTAGCTTCTGCTTTTGTAATCTGTGACCCCAGTAAACAGTTTCCTGGTGGGTTTACAACCTCAGTCATTAGCTTGAAGCCCTCCTTAGAGCAACCTGATGGTGGATTTGTAAAGTGTGGTCTAATTTGGTCATTAAAGAGCCCCGCTTTACCCGTGCAGGAGAAATCATGGCTAAACTGTCTGTTTCTGATCATCATGAAAACATCTGGTTTCAAATAAGTTCCAGCACTTCACCTGCGGTTTGCTTGTTTTGACCCTGCGCCCTTGTCTTACTAATGTTACTCACAGTTTCACTAATAGATGACTGTATGAGTGTTGATGTCACATAGTGGTTAGTGAAGCTCCGTCATAAAGACTCAATTTGAAAGTCATCGTTTCCATCTTGATGTTTTAAAACACTAGAAATAGGTCGATCTAACTGCGACACCTAGGCCCATGTTCATGAGGCAGACACTCGTGAATCACCCGCCCTGAAGAATCCCTCCGTGCTGAAGCAAACAGGGACATTTGTAAATGTGGATATCATGTTTGATGAAATAACACCTGAAACTAAAGAAGGAGACACCAAATTCATGAAAGTACTCACCAAAGTCATAGACCAAAGAACAGGTAGAGTTGTCAATTTTCAACCAGAAAAGTCGCCCTCTGCTGGACATTTGAAAGAAAAAAAGGTTTAAGTCTTTACTTACAAAACCCGAATGCTACGTCCATCTTTTAAATACAGTCTGTGCGTGCAGCTTTCTAGCCTCCAGCAGGGGGCGACTCCTCTAGTAGCTAACAGAAAAAACACATCTATAGAAGAATAGTGGGAATTTTCCTGCTTGTTACATGTAGATTATTCAATTCTTGTGAAACACAGCATGATTTACAGTTTTTGCCTAAATTCATGGGTATCTTGTGTAACATCACTACCATAACACCCATGATCTGTGGCCATCACTGACATGATTCCCAGGGTGTAGTAACACGGCTTTTGACTTACCTGACTATGAGCTGTAGTCTGCTTTGTGTTTAACAAACATGTTAAACAGGCTCAGCTCATTATGACTGCGAGCAGCTCAGCCCACTGCTTAATTAAATGTGCTTCCAGGAAGTCACTTCATCGGCTTTTCAGCTCATTTTAATGTTTCTTTGTATATGTTTATTTTTATTTTGGAACCGGCCACAGTTTCCTTTTCCTAATTGTGCTAAGAGGAACTAAAGCGTTAAAGGGTGTGTGTGTGTTTGTGGCTTAAAGAGAGCGTTTCCAGAATATGACGGCAGGCGCGCAGGTGGGCGGTGTTTGGAGGCAGCAGCAACCAATGGGAGGCCTATGTGTCGCTGTCAAACACAGCTGATCGATGAGTGAGGGGAGAACAGCCCAAAAGGTCCCACTTGTTGCTGTGCAGGAGCAGCGATCGTCAGCTGGTCGCGGAGGTCTGATCGACCCTCGGTTCGCGCCCTGAAACCGGTGAGCAAGCACACCAGGAGTCCTCGACAGCCCTGCAGCCGCTCCGGTGCACGATCACCCCGCCGTGCCTCGCTCTCAGCCCTCAGGTGAGCTTTTTTCATATTATTTCTGACATTTTCACTCCCTTCCATTGCTCCATTCACACCGAGGAGGTGTCGGGCTTTGCGCTTACCTGCCCGGTGACGGCGGGATAACGCAGGTGTAAAGACGAACAGCGAGGACTTCCCACTGTGATCTGGTGTGTGGGTGTTTTTCTGATGTCGCTGGATCCACGCACAGTAAACATCGGCGGTCACAGCAGATCGCGCAGGGGCGCTCGGTTTCTGTAATTGAATTATTGTTGCGGTGACAGAAGAGCGGCTCCTTCACAAACGACTGAAGGGCCTAAAAATAACAGGTCCGTCATGCTGATGATGATGCGGTGGAACGGGGGGATTTTTACATAACAAACAGTGTTTGTGCGCAGAAATCTGTAATCCGACAGGAGCTGTGCAGCTTTTAAGGACAGGCTTTTAGTTTCAAGGCTTTCCAGGAGTCCTTGAAGCCTCTTCAAGGGTTAATTTGAATGGGTTTAAGCTGTCAGGGCTCTGCACTGTAAGAGTGTAGGTCTACAGATGAAATATGACTTTAAGCACTTTCCTGCTTTTCTCTGCCACATTTCGTGAACATTGGAAATGATGCGAGCTTCAGATGTAGCAAAAAACGCCTTTGAGTAATGAGGTTATCACCCTCAAGCGCACTTGTGATGTTACTGATGTATTGTTTGATTGTGAGGTGAGGAAAGTGCTCTTTGAGTCACGTTCATTAACACCAAGACCGTCAGATGTGGACTTGTGATGGGGGACGTACTTTTCAGTCAGTTTTATTTATATATTGCATTCATATTTATTTTTATGTGAGAGTATTTATGCTAAGGTTTTTTGCAGTCCGGCAGTAATGCCATAATTTCTTTATGCTTGCGTGAACGAGGAGTCTTGACTCTTGAGGGACTGAGGAGGCAGGATGAAGGAAAACCAGTGTATGAGTTGTTCTGAGTTATTTTCTGCTTTCCTTTGTTTTTATGCTGCTTGTTGAATGATAAAAGAAGCAATCTGAAGGCGTAGCTGGGCCGATTTCCACATTCTTCAACATTAATCAACTAAAAATCATAGCAAAATGAGAGAAAGTATGAGTCAAAACATGTTAATTGTAAAAACCTGAAGGAAGGATCTGGACTGTGGTGGATGAGCTAATATGAAAGTTCCTGTCAGATCTGGCTGATTGAGCGGTTAAATGAACCTGTAATATCAGACCAAAGCGGTTTTACTGCCATAATATTAGTGCGTGGCTAATTTCTGGCAGATTTTATGACCTTTAGTATCTTACATCTGACTCACTGAACAGGAAACACTTTATGGATAAAATCATTTCCACAAAGAGATCTGAGATCATCAGCAAGGATCTCCAGTGCTAATTTAGCTTTGAACTTTCACCACATTTCAGTCTCGATCTGCAGCTCCCTTAGCCGCGGCACACACGATTAGACCAGTAAAAAATATAGAGCGATACAACATACATGCAAAACACGACACACTGTAAAACCTGCATCTAGAAACCAGGCAGCACTTCTGACGGTGCTTTTAAGCGTGAAATGATCCTGCTTTCCGTGTTTTTCTCTATTAATTTATGTCTCAGTTAAGTGAAGCACACATGATATTCCTGTTTCCCTCCTGCACTGAGATGCGTTCGTGTGTCTCAAATAAATATTGGTGCACACGGGAGCAGCAGCTGCAGGGTGGCATGCTTGCTGCATCCCTGCCATCGGCTCAGTAATGCAGCATCAGCACTTCCACAGAGTGCTGCTGTGCATTGTGTACACAGAGGCCAGGTTTCTGTTTCTTTGTTTGTTGTTTCATCACTGATGGGGTTTTTTCTTTCTTTCTTTTTTTGTTGTTGTCTCAAAACATAAGTGAGGAATAATTTCCTACCGCGTGGTCAGCTGAAAAGACGGATTTTGGAGCCTGACCCCAAACACAGGTTTAATCACATGCTATCTTATGATATCTGAGATGGAGCTCACATGTTGACTCTAACTTGTGGTTAAAAACTGGAGTCAGTTCTTAATTAAAAGCGGTAATAATCATACCCTGACATTAAGTGTTATATCCTCCATCTGCCTGCTCGTTTCTCACGTTCACACTGGAGCAAAAAGAGCAAAGTTCAGGCTTTCACAGGAGGACTCTTCTTCACGGCTACTCATCCACCACGCTCTCAGATGTGGCTTAGCACCAGCTTCTACAAACTACTGTTGATAACTTCCATAACTCACGCTTTTGTTTCCCCCCTTATCTTTACTGTCTGCGTCATGTTGTACGAGACCGCGAGGCTCCCTCAAGGTTGCAGTCCCCTTCTCACCTGTGCTCACGCCAGCTGCTTCCTCTGTTTGTGCCAAACAGCTCGATGTTGTGGCTGCAAACATGGGGGGAAAAAACATCAGGTCCTGTGCGCCAGAAAATATTTCCAAGAAAGAGCGAGCTAAACAAGAGCAAATGCTACTCTAATATGAGATAAAGAAGGTGAAATGTGTACACACAGGCGTGGCCACCCTGAGTTACGGTGAAATCATTTCACCTCAGTCATGAAGGGGAGGTGTAGGTGATGGGGGAGGACAGTCCAGCTCCAGGAACTATTTTCTCTGTGAAATTATTCTGCTTTTGTCTTATTCTCACTGTGCAGCTGCATTTTTTTGTTGCACCTGCAGTGTGGAGTCACCTGTAGCATCTGCCAGTCATATCACCAGTCCTCAGCACCCAGACTGCACCGGCGCAGCCTGAAGTCGGCAGGAAATCTGACATTTAAGCCTCTCCAGAACGATTCTGATCGAGTCTGCGTTGGTGCTTCACATCTTCAAACGCAAAGTTTGCCAAACCGAGCGAAGCCTGGCTGTCGTTTCAGGGCTTTGTAGCGAGACAGGAAGGCCTGATGAGGCTGGTTTTATTTTATCACTCTGTTGTCACGGCAGCCTTGTTGCCTCCAGGCTTTTTCTAACTTCACAAACATTACAGCACAAGTTCTAATATCACACAGATCCATGATGACTAAGATGCAGACCTCCCACACAGGTTGTGGTCACAGAAGATGGAGATGATGTGAATGTGTGTGTGTGTGTGTGTTTCAGTGTGTTAATCTGTTGTGTGTGTGTGTGTGTGTGCGCGCGCATCTAAGCCTGGCTGGCTCGCTGAGGCAGTGGGTCCTCCCCCGGCTGCTCTAGAGATGACTGGCATCTCTGTCGACATGAAAGCACCGAACACAAATGAAAGAGGGCAAAGTACACCTACACGCACCTTTTCACACATGCTGGCATTTGGGCTCCGGCTCCGGCAGAGGTCTGGAACCAGTTTATCTCAGGAAGTGTGTGCGTGCAATGTTAGTGATTTGGAGATAAAGGTTTGGTTGCTGTGGCGATTGCTTTCGGTTTCGGCGTGAAGAAAGTTTTGTATCGGCGCCGTCAGACGGCGGCGGTGGTCGATATGGCCACTTTTGAAACCGTAAACAGTGGGAGGTGGTAGTTTCAGAATGGATCACCTGAAAGGTTGAAGTCAGGCCGTGCTGTCTTGGTTAAAGGTTTGATGGGAAGATGGTGAAATAAAGTAGGGTGTGTGTCTCTTTTAGAGTAGCTCTGCATGATTCTGAGTCCAAAATAATCTTTATTTGAACTGTTCTGAGCATCAGTGCAGATCCTCAGTTCCTCCTCTGACTGAAACAAGCAGTCAAACTTTCTTCTGATTGGCTGTACCTCACAAACAGAAGGTCTGAAAAGCTGGTGGGCGAATTTTTATCTGATTATTTTTGCAGAAAACTTCTGCTCAGCCATCATCAGCAAAATCCACGTTTCACTGTTACTTTGCTGCATTTCCAGTAGAAGCAAATAAAAGTGTGTGACTGTTTGGCATTTTAACACAGAGCTGTGATATAACGTGTGGCTGACGCTGCTTTGTGACAAAGTGACAAACAGATGCTACACGATTATTCAGTTACTCCGTTGGCTCTCAAACCTCCTTCAGAGGCTGGAGAAACTCCCCAGTACTTCCAAACATTAGACAAAGATCCTGGTGGGTTATAATCTTAAACATCTTCATCATTGTTGCTTCTCTGCATTTTAAAAGCAGCTTTCTGAGTTAAATGTGGCTGAAAATGGCAGGTTTTATGCTGCAGACAGAGGGGAGGACGTGGGGCTTTAAATCTGATGTTTTGTGTTTAAAAATCAGAGTGAGGTTCTTTGTCGCTGCAGCTGCAGCTACTTGGTGAGCAGAGGGTGTGGTGGTGCTCAGCAGCTGACAGGTGTGGATGAAGACAACAGCTGGCTCGCTCTGTAGGTGTTCTCTGAAAAATAAGGCGGACAGGCTGGTTCACAGCTGACAAAAGCAGGGTGAAGGTGTTTGCGTTCACAGCTGGGGTGTCGTTTTAATCAGAAAGGTTTTGGCAGGTGGGGGGACTTCTTCCTGGTGACCGTCCGTTACCCCCGTGTGTGTGTGTGTGTGTGTGTGTGTGTGTGTGTGTGTGTGAGAGAGTGTGAAGATGGCCGCTGGCATGTTTGTGTGTGCTTTCTCCTCCTCTGACTCTCTGTTGTGTCACCAGGAAGTCCGGTTTGATGTCGGCCTCAGTCCTCTCTCCATGGCCGTGTGGACCCGTCAGTCTGGTCTGTGGACTCTTCCTGCTGGCCTCCTCACCACTCCTCATTGCAGGTACGACCTCTGACCCCAACAGGGTCGCTTTTAAAACACGCAGCAATCTCCACTCAACCTTTTTGAAAGAACTCAAGCAAAAACTCTGAGCTGATGGCAGAGAAATGACGCACACTTTGATTCAGTGTTTGAATATTAGAGAACTAACAAAGTGCTCATTCATCTCATCGTGGTGGTTTTACATTTTGGACTGAAAGAAGAAGTAGGGAAAAAGATTGCCAGTGTCAGCTCTGCCACTTCCTCTTAACCCCTTTATGACAGAAATTGCTCTCAGATGATCCAAAAGATACGAGGGGTGAAGAACCTAAACAGAAAGTGATTATTTCTGCCTGCTTCACACATCAGAGTTTAGTTTTCACAACTGTTATGAGTAGTGTGCATGCAGGCCAGTTCACTTTGCACATAAACGTTCATCTAAAGCAGTGGTGTCAAACATACGGCCCAGGGACCAGAATTGGACATTGAAACATGTAATGACTTAACTTTTTTTCAGATTTTTTATTTTTGGCTTGTCCTACTGATAAACACCTCCCCCCCAACATTCATACTACACCAAAGTAATGAAGTGATAGATCAACATTTAAATGACAGAAAATTCCCATTATGTTTCTTTCAAAAGTCTTTTTATTAGACAAAGGTTCCAATACAATGTATACAATAACACAAAATGCTTCAGAGTATTCCAAAATTTCAATCTTGTTCCCACCCCAACCCTTAAAACAACAAATAATTGGCAGCCTGCTGCCCAACTAAACAAAAAAACAAACAAAAAAAACAGGAAAAAAACAAACAAAAGCAAAAAACAGCAAACAAATTCCCATTATTTTTATTTGAATTAACAAATTTATAATTAAAAGCAATGAGAAACCAGAACTTTTGCACATTTCTTATGCTGAGATAAATGTGCAGTTAAACCACTTTACCGTGACCGAAAGGGAATTTTTACTGCCCACTTAAGATCAAAGTGGGTATGTGTGTGGCCTTTGATGTAAAGTGAGTTTGACATCCTTGATCTAAAGCGTGCTGATTGGTCAGTTTGAAGACGGTGCTGTGATGTCCCTGAAATTCACAGACATGTAAATCTGTTGCCTCAATAAATTTGATTTAAAAATGTGGAAGAAGCCAGAGCTCCACCGAGCCCCATTTATTCTGGACTGTTTCAAAGCGCTCTATGAACCAGGGAGCCCTCAGCCTGACACATCATAATGCAGCTTTGTCAGGCGCCTCTTGTGTTTCCCCTTCATGCAAAAGGCATCATTGAGCGTCAGTTGTTCCAGCCGCAGCTCTATCGGTACCTGACAGGTCACAGTCCTGTTTTTGCAGGACTTTTTTTGTTTTGCCCAAAGACTGGGCTTGGTTTAAAGCTTGTCTCTTCACAACAGGAACCCTGGTATTTGAGAAATGACGAGTTGGGAGTTGCCGATTATTCTCACGAGTGTCGTAAAACCCTGTGTCTTTGTATTGCTTCAATTCCCACAATCCTTCTGCAACCAAAGAGCTCCAAACACAGACGCATGGCAACCCCAGCTTGAGTTGCATAAGCGGTTAAAGAAACTGATATAATCTTATTTTATTCAGCTCACCTTATGTGTACCAGCAGGAGTGAAACTGGAAACCACTTTTTAGTGAAAGTTTTGAAAAGATAACTTTATTTGGAAATTCAGATTTCCACCTGATCTTACCTGAAGAGAAATTTAACATGAGATTTATTAAAGCCACACAAACACTAAAAGATCAAAAAGTCACCCTTATTTTTTTATTTTTTTTTTTAATTCACTGAAAAGGCCACATAAAGCCTCTGCAGCAGTTTGGACTGAAACACACTTATATGACACCTTTACCATGACTGATTTTGAAACGCTACATGAACTTTAGGCAGGATGTCTGCAGTTTCTCTTCAGGTCACTGTGTTCAGTCTGTTTTGGAGGTTTGAAACTAGCTGTCTGGCTCCTCCTGTCCTAATAAGAACCTAATGTCACGCTCTTTAGCTCGTATAGGAACCAGCTGCGTTTCGTAACGCTGCAGTGCAACTTTGTGGCTCAGATGCGTCTAAATATCTGTTTCTTTGATTTTAGAAGGCGAGTGAAATCCCTTGAAAGTGTCTTACTTTATTCATTCAGGTGTCATTTTGCGCTCTCAGCTTCACACTTGCCCTACTCTCAGCACGTTAACGCTGAAGAGGTGGAGGAAACCATAATTCTGCAGACATACGTTTTTAAGGTGAAAGATGAAGAAATAGAGGAAGTTGGGAACACAGCTGGGTTTCTGGTAAAGCTGCCTGCTGTGGGCGAGTAAATAAAGATCATAAAAAAAAAAAAAACGGAACCACATCTCTGTGGAGCCTTTTGGCCACATATCAGCTCTTGTTTGCTGTAATAATATCCCCTCGCTGTGCTTTCATGTGGACACAGCTTGTGTTGCACTCTTCATCCATCACCCCTCACCATGAAACCTCGCCTGCATGCTTTTCTTCTTCGAGTGTGTTGGAATAGCAACTTGCACTCCAGGCCGACTTGTTGCCCTTTGGTTTCTTTTTTGTTTAGTTATTTAAAATCCAGACAAAGGATGCATGCAGGTCCTCTTTCATTATCCATTCATTCAGTGAACCATACAAGTGTTTGCACAATGACACATTTAAGAACAGTGCAAATACAAAGGGGGCAGAAACTTGCAAAATCATTGGCTAGCACTGTGAAACCAAAGGACACTGTGGACATAACTCTAAAGCAATGCAAGCCTACAGGAGATATAAAACCCCCCCTGAATATTTATGTAATGGGGGGGGGGGGGGGGGGGGGAACCCTCAATCCAAACAGAGCTAAATCTCTTAGTTTCAGCTGATGGCAGTTGGTGGAAGGAAGGAGTGAGAAAAACACCTCCACAATGTTTATCCTGTTCTTTAAAGCCAAAAGCAAACAAACGCACATGGAGCAGTGCTGCAAAAATGTAGGAGGGCCGAGGGAGAACATAAACAATATCCAGCAACAGTGATGGATCCTGAACAAATGTCTAGGGCCACAGGACCGTAGTCTAACAATGGATGTCCAGAGCTTCCTCTCAGGACCCACCTCCTTCAGCTCTTCTGGAGCTGCACTGAGATGCTCCCAAGTGGCCATCTACTCTCAGCTGGATATGGCCGAATGTCTAACTTAGGAGGTGTCGAGGAGGTCTGGTGCTTGGAGAAACATGGCCCCTTCTCATCACTGTTTTGTTTTTCTGCAGGCAAAATGAACTGCACTCACCCTCTGGTGCCAGAATATGGAGGTTTTCGCTGCGATCCCTCCCCGTGCCAAGGCTTCCCTCACAAGACCACCATCCGCCTCTTCTGTGAATCAGGATACCAGATGAGGACCCCACTGTCCAGGTGCCGCAACGGGAAGTGGGGTCCTCCCATATCTGCCTGCATCCCCATGAAAGGTGAGAGTTTGACGGCCTCCAGTCAGAGTTATAGCGTGTTGTGTTTTTGTTTGCGCTCCAGCAAAGTGATCAGGGCATGGTGTTGATGTTTGTGTGTTTTGTTAAGTGCAAAGAGCAGTGGTACATTAAACTCACACTCTTAGATGTGTTTAATGGAGCTGATAAGCCAGTTTCAGTTTCCATGCTTATGAGTTTTGCTCATGCATATTGTCAGCAGGTTGTTAGTTTCGATTCGAGCCATCCAATCGCCTCTGAGGCTTCTGGAGTTACTCAGTTTAGAAGTCGTATGATATGAAACTTTCCTTCTTTAATAATAAGATTTTCTTAGACAACTCTTAACATTTCCCAGCAGTAGCGAGCATCACAGCGTTGCTTAGAGATTATTACTTAAGTTTATAATCTACCTGTGACTCATCTCCCCGTCAGCCCAGCCGGTCTAAAGGCTGGTTAGTCATTTTAGTCACCGCTCATTTCTTGTTTTAAGCATTCAGGAAGTAGATAGCGTGTGTACCAAGTACTTGTCGACAGGATACAAATATGTGTTAATGCTAATTTCCGATATGAAGAAAGTAATATGAAGCTTCATCTCATCATCTTCATCTAATTTCCATCTCATCATTAATACTAATGAGTATCAGCCACTGTTACATTTTTTTTCTTTTACAGCCGCTGACTTTATGGCACTATTGAAAATAATTAAGGAAACAAATTGTACTTGCGTGGCTTTTTAAAGTGTGCAGTACTCAAAGAGCTTGAGTCACATGAAATCAATACAGCATACCACGCGTTCAGCAAATTATGAACTCAAATTTCCCAGATTTTACAATATTTAAAACAGATAGCCGAGATCACGTGCCCCATACACCGCACAGTTTCAGAAACACTGGTTTCATGAGGAACTGGATGACAGCCTGATAACAACCCTGGACACAAGCACGGACTAGGACTCAGTAACCACTCCAAGAGTTAAAGCTAAACCAGCGCTCTTGGTCAATGAAACACTGACAGCAGCATCACACGGCCGCAAGACTCAAAGTCTCAGCAGAAAACTATGATCATAACACACTAAGTTAAGCATTAACAATCTAGTGAGACTGTGCATGTGCCACTGCAGATGTATCCCTTAAAAATAATTAAATAACACACTTGTGGATGACTGTGCTTCTCAATATTCACGAATAGGTAGTTATAACTAGACTAATATAAATGTATTAAATTCAACATCTTTTTAAAAGATAATATTATAATGGAAAGCTCATAAAATGGAACCAACGAGCGTAGATTTCTTTTAGAAAATGTACAGTATTTACATTATGTGTTAAGAGACAGATCTCAGTTATGGCCACATGTTGGTGCCCCATACACCACACACTTACCAAAACACCCATTTCATTAACTTCTGAAACAACAACAAGGGGGGGGGGGGAAACGAGTCTCTGTCGTAGTTTTCTGTTAATGTGTAAACTTTCATGTTTGTGGCTACATTATTGCTGGAAACCACATTATTCATTCACAAGAATCAACACCCACCAGCAGTGCCACTGAACTGTTGTACTCTTAGTCTCACAATGCCACCAGTGCTGCAGTGTGACCCGATATATTTACTCTTAGATTCTGCTGAAGTACACTTTTATTGGGCTTGTATTGAAACTTCAAATCTCTACTTCCTTTTCCTTTTTTTTATTTTTTATATTATTTCACATTTCAATGATGTGTGATTCTGCACAATGACTGTTTTATTTTAAGTACTTTTTAACTATATTTTGATGCTCAGAATCTTAACTTTACCGCAGTAAAGAGTCTGAATACACATTTCACTGCTTTGCTGAATAGCTATGCAAAACAAAAGGACTTTTAGTTTTGTTTTTGTGCACAGGGCTGCGCATGAACCTGAAAATCATCCCCAATGTTTTCTACACTGACACAAAATGTAGATAATTCAGTACCGATGTAAGTTAAATGCATCAATTATGCAGAAACAGCAGACGCAGCAGCTTTATCGTCTTTATCTTATGACCTACTTAAGAGGTGAACACAGACACACTCTACAGAGGAAGTAGCAGCTTTACTTTCCTCAGACCAGTTCCAACTTCCTCTGTCGCCATTCAGTCGAATGTGCTGCAACAGGAAGTCAAAGTGCAGAAAGAGGAAGCGGGCAAAGCCACCATAATAACCATTAAACATTTCCTCTCTGATGCTGTCAGTCTCATGGAAAGCTGCTGCCGTGTTGTCACGGGCACAAACAAACCACACAGCTTGAAAATCTCTCCTCTCGCAAAGATCTTGAGATAGATAATTAATTTCTGCTCAGAGCTTCTACTCAGAACACACAACCTTTCCCAGGGTTATGCATTTAGGTTCAGTTTACCTGTCTTATTGTGGTGACAAAAACACCAAATGCACATCTGGCATTCAGGCACAATTTTGGAAATAATCAGATCTCCTCAAAGAACCTGGATTTTAGTTTTGGAAGCCTGTTCTGCTGAAAACAATCCTGTTAAGTTCAAACCTGCTGCAGAATGTTCTGGTGGCTCTGCTGCATATGCATGGTCTCATGCATAAATGCGACCACACCCAAAATGGCCCAAGATGTTCAGTGTGCACACACACAAAGTCAGGAAAAGGCAACAAAATGTGAAGGTTTTGGTATTTTCAGCATCTGTAATGTCTGTCTTTTTCTTCCTCAGGCAATCCTATCCCCAAACCCGACGACTCAATGCCCAGCATGGCCACGACTGCAGTGGGTGTGTCCATCTTCCTGCTCACCACCACCGCCTGCCTGGTCCTCAAGTCCCGGCTCTACCCCTGTCAATCACAAAGGTAAGAAGAAACGTCTATTGACTTTTTATCCATGTATTTGTTTCTGAGCACCTATTTTTACAGGTGTGACATCTTATGTGTATTTATATGCACATGATATCTTATTCTACCTTTATAGTCAGTACCTTTACCTTTTTTTGACTTTTGTTGCCATGATGCCAGGTCTCTCTTGGAAATGAGATTTTTAATCTCAATTAGATTTTTTTTTTTTTTTTTTTTTACCTGGATAAATAAAATAATAAAAATACAGTAATAAATAAACTAATAGCTGTACAGGACAGACACCACTTCAAACACTCTGAGTGTTATCAGCCTATCAAAGCTGTTGCCACATGTTCTTATTATTATAATAAATAACTTCTTAATTAGGTCAATAACTTCTTAATTGTAGTAAGGCAAGAGGGTTCGTAGTATCCATTCTGGTTACTGATAAATACTGATACTGAAATGCGTGTTAGCATCACGTGCTGCCTTGTCTGAGTGTGGGGAGCTGGAAACACAGGCTGAACTTTAGTTACTTTATATTCAGTGCTGTAGTTTCAGGTCAGAGGTCAGGAGCACTTCATTTGTCATCTGAGCATTAACCTCTTACTTTTCCTTCCTCCCTGCAGCCGTCGCTCCTCAGACCAGCTGGACCTGATGGTGGACGGGCTTCCAGTTTCCCTTCCCTCCTATGAGGAGGCGGTGTACGGCAGCTGGGGGCAGCGCATCCCTGCCTGCTCAGCTCCCGGGCCCACGCAGCTCCTCCTGGCTCAGGAGGCTCCGGGCTGTCAGCAGTCTTCCCCGAGCAGCCAGTCAGATGGCAGCCACTGCCCGCTCCTATTGGGCCAAAGCCCTGACAACCCTCCACCGCCTTACGAAGAGGTCCAGTCGCCACATGCCAGAGACAGGATGAATGACGGGGACGTCCTGCAGCTCCGCGTTGCACTTTCAGACGATAAGGACACATGATGACGGACGGAGAGACTCAGAAGTAGTTTATGATTTTGACAGGTGCAGTGTTCACTCTGCAGATAACTGCTCAAAAAACATAAAAACAGGGGCTCACGGCAGACTCCTGTACTGCCCGCACTTTTCCTGGTTGGCTCACCAGCATCAGGACCTATCACATGGTATTTTAGACGATAAGCTCTGATTGGCCAGTTGTTGGGTCAAAAAAGACCCGAATGAAGAGGACTGAAGTGCATTTATAGCTGAAACGTTGATTGTATAGTGTGTTTGTATAAACGTTGATTGTATAGCAAATGTATGTGACACAGGGAGGGGGTGTGTTGTGCGGTATCATCGCTGTCTTGTGAAATCCTGAGAGTGTGAAAACAGGAAGGCTTTTACCAGACGGTGGTGACATGAAGGTGTGTGTGTGTGTGTGTGTGTGTGTGTGTGTGTGTGTTTTCAGTGTGTTTCTGGAGACGTCGTCTACCTTTCCCCTCAGTGACGGGGCTCATTAAGGCTTCGTTTGTGAAGTCAGTGGCGTGTTGTTTCTTTTCACTTCTGCATTTGTGTCTGAGACTTTTGCACAGTGTTTCTATTAAAGTCCAAACGGGCCGAGACGCACGGGCTGCTGATTTAAAATCACACACACTCGGGTCGTGGATGGTGATTTTGTTTTGTTTTTTTTGTTTTTTTAAATAAAATGTTAATTTCATGTACAGCAAAGTGCTTGGAAACCAAATGTTCTCTTAAAGTGTTTCTGCTGTGTTCATTCAATGCTGATGGAGGAAAAACTATTTAATATTTAATCGCTTTCAATCTACAGTTATGAGTCGATTGGTTTACTAAATGAAATCAATATATTTAGTAAATCACTGGAGATTTATGTAGGCACTTTTTAAAAAAAAAAATCAATTTAAAAAAAATAAAATAAAAAGATTTTAGGTGCAAATCTCTGAGATGACCCGGATGCCTTTGAGGATCATCTTCATGTCCTTACTGGGTTCCTCGAGTGACTGACGCCTTCAGACCTTGAATGTATTTAATGTTTTTGTTTTGTGCAGACAGATCTGAACTAATATATATATATATATAAAAATATGTGTATATAAATTGTAATATTTACAAAATGATTATTTCTATATTGTGTTATTGCACAGAACTATATGATTAATAAATGTTGAGGTGTTTCTTTATTTGCACGTCTCCGTCTCATTTGTTGTTGCTGTTGTAAACACAGCTGATATTTTGTGCAGCATTTGTCTTTAGCTGCTAGTTTTTACATAAGTCTGAAAGTTTTCACACAACTGTTTGAGATGCTCTGCTAAAAACAGCAGGAACTCTTTAAGGGGTTGCAGGGTTTTAAATTCCTGGTGGTGAACCTTTTTTCTTCTTGCTGAACAGTTTTTCCTGGCTGGATGAACCTTTTACCCCCTACATGCTGCAGGTTAGCCCACAACAACTGCTGTCAGCAGTAAAGTTGATGATTGTGTTCCCAGAAAGTGACTGAGAAACAGTGTAACTCAAGCACGGTGAAGAAACAGCACAGCGAGTTGTACTGTTTGAAGTTGTGAAAAAAAAAATGACACGAAATCTGGTCTTTCCCTTTTAGGAGACTGCAGGTTAGCTGGCATGAGAACTTTGCCCATGATGCAACACAACAATCAGACATCTGATGTCACGTCGCACAGTCAAATCAGGTCAATTTGTTTACAAGGATGGTTAAAAGAAAAAGCTAGACATTGATCATGCACAGCTAATAAAACAATAAATGCATTAAAACATAAAAGTACTATGACCTAAAAAGTAAACAATACAAAACAAAGCAGTCTAGTTTAACCTGTTTTCTAGGCTTCCTGCTCGAAAATGACATCCCCAAAATGAATGGAGTATTTCTCTGCAATCACAAACTGTGTAAACAATCTTGGTATCAAAATAAAGCTTACACTTGTTCATCAGAGGTGTAAAAATTGCAGCAGATGTTACTGTGTCAAAGTTACTCAGGCTGGAACACAGAAAAAGGTTTTAGTAGAAAACCCTTTTAAAAATATGCTTTAGATCTCATTTTAATCCAGAAATTCAGTAATCAACATATAAACATCATCTGTGCAAAGATTTGTGCTTCTAAAGTAAAACAGTGAAAAATTGCAGCACATTTAATAAATAAATATTCAGACATTGTACAACAAGTCCAATCCTGACACACTCTGGACACCATATATGAGTAAAAGTTTTAGGTATTAAACAGCAGAGATTATTTAATTTCATTAACATGCCTAAAAATGCTTGTTTTTTGAATATTTTTGAAGAATGAACTACACATTCACAGACTCTTAATTGGGACACAGCCAATGGGCCCTTTCTGAGGGGTTGCCGCTTCCGGCTTCTTTTGGCCTCTTTTAGCGGATTTGCATGATTGACACTTCTTTTTAACTGTTTGAGCCAATAGAACCGTGGTAACGATGCCACTTCATCTAATCAGAAGTTGCAAAGCCAGACCCCACCTGGGCCCAATTTATGTCTGTAGCTAGGTCTAAAATGACGGAAGTGGCTCTGATGCGCTAGTTAGCCGCGCTAGCTGCTGATAACCAGGGTGCTATCGGCTACCTGCGAAAATAACGGAGGAAACTGGGAGGTAAGCCAATTTTGCGCTGCTACGCGTTTCTTCTTTTGCGGCTGGTTCAGTGACTTTTGGTCGGAGCGCGGTGAAACTTAGTGTTTGGAATCTGTGATAGCTCTCGAAGCTAACTAGCCTTTGTTTAGCCGGTTATATGAAGTCTGGAGAATTTCTGGTTTCGGTTTTGTTTGTTTGCAGGATTTTTTCGCATTTACATAACTGCTCTTTTAATCATCGCTTGTTTTCGCTGTGTTTGGTGGTTGTAGAAAGGTTTCTGTGAATACTACACAAGTTGATATTTGATTAAAAGGCTCTACGCCATGGCGGGTTACATAACTCGTGAGCCCCAACGCCCCCGGTACCGGGAACAGAAGCCCCGCCCACTGGCTGCTCAAACCTTCTGTTTGTGATGGACAGCCATTCAGAAGAATGGAGGTTGTTTTCACATATGAACTGAGATGCTGTAACGAGATCCAATTCAGGATAAATAAGAATTATTTTAATGTGATTCATTAAAGCTACTCTAGTACAGTCTGAGAAAAAAAGAGTGGAGTTGGAAATAAAGGTCTCGAGTATAATTAAACACAATTCAATTAAGGCTGATTGGACCTTATTAACATTAGGATGCAGTTACCTGTTCAGGATACAGCAGATCACAGACCACACCTCTGAAACCAACATTTTATCCTGTCTCGGCAGATATATGTAAAAAAGTCAGTATTTCTCTTTGAAATGATAAAACCTTAAAATAAGCCACAGACAGAGTAAACGTCTCTCTGGTCTCTTAAACTGAAAATGTAGGATCATGTTTGTTTGTTTTTTTCCCCTCCTTGGATTTTCTCCAGGAAAATTCCCATAAAGATAAAATACATCGTCTCTTCAGTGATGTGTAATGCACCCATTTCCAGGAAAGCATTATCGGTCTTTATCGGTTTGTGACTTAGTTCAAGGACTCTGTGTCAGATAAGCCTGGATGTGTTTCACCTTTTCCAGTCGGACTAAAAGGAGAAGCTGCTCCGATGAGTCCAAGCTGTCCAGAAGTGAAACACAGACTGCTGCAACCAGTCAGCAGTGATTCATTTTCTGCATCAGCCACAGTGTGACGACATCCAGTCACACGGTGGAAGTTAGAAGAAGACTTAATTTCTCAACTCAGAACCAGAAAAGACACCGTGTGATCTTTGAAACTATTACCAGCCCTGAGGGTTTCCCTCCTCCGCTCAGCTTCCTTACAAATGCCTTCTTCAGAAAGTGACCAGCGTGTGACATCACAGCGAGGTTGTGCAAACAGGGTGGATTCACAGTTACCGTCAGCGTTTATGCAAATGCCCACATCTGTGATTTCTTTTTTTGATGACAAACCGGTTTTCTTTCATTTGTTTTACTTCCCATTTCTGCTTCTTTGTTTCTTTAAACCCTAAAAGGTTAACAGAACTACAATTTTAAAACTGCCTTATATCAGCTATTTTGACAGTTTTTACTTTGCCACATAACTGGGGCTACTTTCTTACAGTCAGTTTAAATC